AAGGATTGAATGGATGAATGTTCTATATTATTTTAATGACAGATTGAACCACAGCAATATTGTTTTAGAGATTTTATATGTTTAACTGCTATGCCTGTCATCTCTGCTCTGTGTCATTGTGTTGTCTCCTGGGTTCTGTAGTGCCCGGAGTCTGTCTTTTTATTTTTTTCCTCCCAAACCCCATCCCCTCAGGACGCCTTTTGCCTCCTGTCAGGTCATCATTGTAATAAGAATTTGTTCTTAATTGATTTTCCTGGCTAAATAAAGGTTCTACTACTATTTATTCAGTTATTTTATTACTGGTACTGCTAATTGCATTATGCGTATTGTTGTATATTGTATATACGTATGTATTTACTACTACTACTTACAAAATCGAGGGTTGTAGCTTCTGCCCTGCCGTGGTGCCCTTGAGCAAGGCACCGGACACCCCCCTTCCCCCCCCACTCCCATTGCTCCCCGGGCGCTGTACAATAGCTGCCCACTGCTCCTAGTACTAGACTCCTTGTACTAGGATGGGTTAAAAGCAGAGGCCAAATTTCACTGTGTGTGCTGTGTGCTCTGCATGTGTGACCATTAAAGAGGGTTTCATCCCTCCCTATTCTATTCTATTCTATTTGTGTCAGTACATATTTCAGGGTTTTTCTATGCCTTTGTTAATCTAAATTCTAATACTCATAGGCGACTACCACTCCTGCCGATGCCGAGGCCCAGTTCTCCCTTCCCACCACCCCAGGCTCATTGTGCTAGGTAAAACTCTCATTCAATAAAAGTAGTCTTTTAAAGGTGGGGTAGGTAATTTTGGAGAAACCAGCTCGAGATCGCTAGAATTTGAAAATACACAGCCGGAAAAAATGTGCCACTTCCTTACAGAGCCCCTCCTCCAACACACACGAACGTGCACATGACCAATGAGGGCATGAGATAAGTTTGTGCACAGATGGAAGGCTGACAGGCAGGTAGGCCATCCAGTCATTTCAGCCGGGCCGGCTAAAATGATTGGTTGTGCTTTTTACAGTACCACGGCTTCCACAGATGATATTTTTTTATGGATTTTTTGTCAAAGCACTTAAGATATTCATTGCTATCGGGATGTTAAGAGTATTCCATGGAATATAACAAAAAGTGTATCTCGAGCCGGTTTCTCAAACTTACCTACCCTACCTTTAAAGATGAATGTAATTACATTTTTTTAAGTTTTAAACAGAACTGTCACAGATGCAGATGCTTGGTCCAAATTCCATAAAATATACCAACCAGTAGCGCCACACTCAGACGAAAATGTACAAAGCCTATTCTTCCACTATTTGTATTCCCACATTATTCACCAAGCCAGCCCATGCTTTAATATAGATTTATTTATGGATATTGTTATAATTCCTGCTGTCTTTTGTGAACTTCTAATTATTTGTAATTGTTCTGTTCCACAGATGCTGTAGTAAACCACCATCCAGGGACCAAGACATCAGATATAAGAACATCCATTAACACAAGAATTTGTGAGTAAAGGCACGAAAAAAACAAGATTGACGATCAAATAGGGTACAAGACTGTTTGGCCCTGTTCCGGACCTTGTTTTAATGAGTGATCAGCTCATGTTTAAAGTTGTCACCAGGTGAAACAAAAAACAAGATTGTTAAATAGGATAACAGACTGCTCTTTTTGGCCCTGTATGAAATAACAATGCATCATTTATTAACTATACCTATACAAAATGTAATACATTTTCCCTTCATTATGTAATAACACCTCCTTTTGTAATAATTTGCCCATTATGTAGTAAACAAGTTCAATGCAAATATGTAATGCATGTCGCCACATTTTGAAATATATTATTACATATTGCTGTGGTTATTACAAAATGAGTTGCAAACAATAACATTACAACTGTTTATTTATTTATTCAACCATGAATCATCCTTAATCATAATTTAAAAATATTTCAGTAGAATATCTTTCATTGGCCAAAACTAGATCAAGTGTTACCATATTCATTAGCCAACATGTATATCAACATCAATTTTGGGATATATTTACAGTTTGGTTATGGTTACATAATGAATATTACAGTTTTTTAAAAGGGCAACTCACGCATTTTGTAATAACCATTGCAAAATGTAATAATTTATTACAAAATGCAGGGAAATTTATTTTATATTGCATTCAGGCTGTTACAGAATGCAGCAGATTATTACAAAATGTGGGTTTTATTACATAATTACATGAAAATGTTCTTGAGTCATTACATAATGTGTTGTTTATAGGCCTTTTCTTTTATTCTTTCCTTGTCCTTCTTTTAATGAGTATTTTGATAACTGTTACACATTGATAGAAAAAAACAGATTAAGCTTCTCATTATTCAGACTCAGCTCTCAGCGCTTAAGCTTCTTTTAAATGTTGATAAAACCAAGGTAATGCTCTATTCAAAAACTAAAAAGACACCAGAGCCTGTTTTAGATATTGTAACTACGCAAGGGATAAAACTTGAAGTGGTTACCTGTTACAAATACCTTGGTATCTGGCTTGATGATTGTCTCACTTTTAAACTTCATGTCAATAACCTGCTTAAAAAAACTGAGGGTTGGGCTAGGTTTCTTCTACAGGAACAAGTCCTGTTTCTCACTTGAGGCCAGAAAAAGGCTAGTCACTGTGACCTTTTTACCTGTACTGGACTATGGTGATCTGATCTATATGAATGCACCTGCCCATTACCTGATCAAGTTAGATGCCGCCTATCACAGTGCACTGAGATTTGTGACAAACTGTAAAGCATTAACCCATCACTGTACCCTGTATGCAAGGGCAGGTTTGCCTTCACTAACTGTACGGAAGCTCAGTCACTGGTACATTTTTATATACAAAGCCATGTTAGGGAAACTTCTATCCTACATCTGCTCCCTGATCTCACGGCGAATTGTAAGTGGCTACTGCCTGAGATCGAATGCTGTGGTTTTATTAAATGTGCCAACTGCTAGGACTGTCTTAGGGAAGATAACTTTTAGATGCGCAGCTCCGCTAACTTGGAACAGTCTGCAAAAGGAATGGAAGCTGAGCAATTTGGTTCCACTAAATGTTTTTAAAGCAAGGATAGATGCTATCCAATCGGAAACTGTTGGAACCTGTAAATGTTACTAGCTATGTAAACTAGTCACTGTAAATATGCTGTATGATGTCCTTTTTTGTTTTTCTGTTATGTTTATATGTATTCATGTGGAACCTACTTGCAGCAGGTCACCCTTGAAAAAGAGATCAATGATCTCAATGGGATTCACCTGCATAAATAAAGGTTTGAAATGAAATGAAAGATTTTTTTTATCAGAACATGCATTTCTCCTCATTGTGAACATATATTGCACTCATGTTCAGAATATATGGTACGTACATGGTCTTTTATAAATCTGAATATATATAGCGCATGCATGTCCCCATATAATTGTGAATATATAGCGCATGCATGTCCCCATATAATTGTGAATATATATAGTACATGTCCCCATATAAATCTGAATATATATAGCGCATACATGTCCCCATATATTTGTGAATATATATAGTACATGTCCCCATATAATTGTGAATATATTCTACATACATGTCCCCATATAAATCTGAATATATAGTACATACATGTCCCCATATATTTGTGAATATATATAGTACATGTCCCCATATAAATGTTAATATATAGTAAATGTATGTTCACATATATACACAACCAATATATTATATATATTTACATATATTACTCAATATATGGAAAGCGGCAATTACTGATGTATTATCACATATATTACAATATATTATCACAATATATTATTCAATATATATATATATATTGTAATATATTAACACAATATATTATTCTATATATCTTCAATATATTTTGTAGATATGAATAAATATGTTTTTCATGTTGATTATTAATCAGTATCACTTGGTGTAGCCAACAGCAAGATTTCCTTTATTAAATCTTTTCAATTAACCAGTAAATCAGAAAACAAAATAATGCAATATATTGACAGTTAATATATGGGGAAATATATTTTCTTTGCGTAAGGGCTGTTTCCTCTCTTTTTTCGTTGTAACAAGTGGGACTTTGGTCTCTACTTTTTATAACGACAGGTATTCACCTTCATTCCCTCATGGAGAATATTCATTTTAAATGCTACATTTCCAGGGACTGTGATGCTCCATTACGCATGGCACAATGGACATGGGTTATTAAATTGAGTAGGTGTGTTTTTTGTGCTCCTGGTAACGGACGGACCAGTGGGGCGTGGACTACATCCTGCTTCGCCCTTAATCCAATAGCGATAGCCTTAGAGGGCGAAGCCTTATATGAAATAGAACTGGGGTTACGTATTGTAACCCAGCTTCTATGAGTATAGGCGCAGCCCTCTAAGGTTCGGGCCCCACTGGCTCCGTGAATAGCTGAAGAAAAGCTGTTGGCGTGGGAGCAGATGGTCGGGCCTACTTCCTATTTATACGGAAGTGAGGCCCACGTCATAGGTGGGCGTGGATTAAGTCTGTCAGTGCTGCACACGTGCAGTGGGATTACCCAATAGTGATAGCCTTAGAGGGCTGCGCCTATACTCATAGAAGCTGGGTTACAATACGTAATCCCAGATATTGAGGAAGTAAACCATAAACACTGACTGACAAGCTGTTTTGTAAAATGCTGATCCTGGCAGCAAGTTTCACAGGATGTGCCCAGACTCACAGGATCTATTACAAATGTATTAGATCCTGTGTGTCTGTGCCCCAAAGTCATAGTGTAGTCCATGCCTAAAAACTGTACATGCCCTTAGTTTTCTGCAGTTGAGCACGCAACGGATCAGGTTGATAATTACCAAGTCCTTAGTCACACAATGAGGGATATTTCTCAGGATTTCTGCAGCTGCTGATCAACTGACATCACATCATTCATAATGTCTCCATTCATAGGTTATAAAAGTAGATTTCTTTAAATTGTAACAAAATCATTTTCTGCTTAAATGTAGGCTGCCTACTTCACAGCCACGTTCCCCTTCATCATGCTGGTGGTGCTGTTTATCAGAGGAATGACGCTTCCTGGAGCCATCCATGGCATCAAGTACTACCTGTACCCCAATCTCACACGGCTCGTTGAGCCACAGGTAGCATTCAGACTATATCCTAATATGCATTGGATTCATAGTTGTATAATAATCTGTCATTGGTTCATAGGTTTGGATGGATGCTGGAACCCAAATATTTTATTCCTATGCCATTTGTCTGGGATGCCTGACTACGCTTGGGAGCTACAACAAGTACAACAACAACTGTTACAGGTAAGAAGTTCAAAATATGACTGAGAAAAGTGTTGTTGTGGCTGGCTGCATTCACATTAAGATAAGATCATTCAAATACCGCTTTGGTGAGACCCTGCTTCTATTTTTTTTATTTTAATATAAATCACTATCAACATCCTATAATTGGTGTCTGTACTATTTTATTTTAATCGTTTATTTCGCAGGGACAATGCACTGTAATGAACACTTAAAACATTAAAATGTGTCAAGGTTAACAGTGCCAGATTTAGCTTTCAGCTAATTTCCATCCGCAGTCCCTCACATAAAAACATTTAAAGGTCCCATGTCATGGCCATTTCTACTGATCATAATTCCATTGTTGAGGTATACTAAAATAGATTTATACTGTGCAATTTTCCAAACTCACATTGGTTTCTCATACAGTATCTCTGTAAAGTATGTGTATTCACCGGTATTCACTCTCTGTCCTAAACGGCTTGTTGGAGCTCCTGCCCCCCCTCCCTGTGAGCCCAGTGTGCTCTGATTGGTCGGGACGTTGAGAGGCTCGTTGCTGCGAGGAGCGGAAGCCTGTCCGCTCCTCGCAGCAGATCGCAGCAACGAGCCTCTCGGCGATACAGCGAGAACAAGCTAAATTCATCCTGAGCACACACAAACACTCACAGCCGAAGTAAAAACAATAAGTGTGGCTTGATATTGAATAAGAAAAAGGTTTATAACGCTGTGAGCATGGGTCTGCGAAGAGCATTTCTCCGCAATCCCAACTAAGTAGCCCAAAAAACGTTTACCCATTTAAACAGTCGTGGTAGATACCTTGTTTGTTTTAAACATCATAAATACACAAACAACAATGAATTGTTGTACAGGTTGTGTACCCGAATCTCCCGCTGGTCCAAACAAAGTAGGAACAGCATCGTTCTTCAGTGCCCTACGCTGTACATATCCGGCATGAATCGCTGAAAGGTTTGGGAAGCTTTGTTTCGTGAAAGGCTGGCAGAGGGTGCGGCCTCTGGGTATCCCCACGTCACAGTACCCAGGAAGTAAACAATGGAAAATGAGAAATCTCCAACGAGGCGTTTTGGGGAGGTATTTTCTGTGTTAGAGTTTTACTCCCTACAGGGTGTACTTTGAGGGTTTTTGACTCTGCAGACCGTTTACATGCATAAAAACCTTCATAACACACAAGGGGACGGGTAATAACCGGAAAAGCACGACATGGGACCTTTAAGAAATTTACATTTTACAAACATTGTAAAAACAAAATACATGTTATGCAAAAAGTGCAAGAGAGCAAGAGCAGCATACACAAGTATTTATGACATGGTAATACAATATAGCAGCAACGACATGTAAAGTGCAAGAGAGCAAGAGCAGCATACACAAGTATTTATAACATGGTAATACAATATAGCAGCAACGACATGTAAAGTGCAAGAGAGCAAGAGCAGCATACACAAGTATTTACCACATGGCAGTACAATATAGCAGCAACGACATGTAAAGTGCAAGAGAAGATACAAGAGCTACCTAAAGTGCAAGAGGAGATACCCCTGTGTTAAAGTGCATTTAGCGGTGATTGCACGTCTGTTTGTTTCTCATCCATTCTTTGAGTTGACCTTTGAGGCTATTGAGAGTGGGACAATCCCGTATCTCAGTTGGGAGGCTATTCCAGAATGAGCTGCCCTTAATTGAAAGTATATTTTGTCCAAAAGTGGTCCGTCTACGGTGGACTTCACAGTCTCCTCCATAAAAACCCACATTACTATGTTCAATCTGAATTTACTTTAAAATAAAAACATATATATTGATTCTGACTTTTCTACATCCAACTCACAGGTTTATCATTGCTTTGAGAAAAAAGATTATTAATGTACCCCTTTTAGAAGTGAAGATATAGTCATTTGTTCTGGGCATGTCATTTTCGAGCTTGAGACCTGAAAAACAGGCTCAGGGCTTAACAGGTGAGGCATGTGTTACCAAGAGAGAAATAAAGACACATTGTTTGTGCATTGTTCCTTTTGCAGAGACTCCTTCTATCTCTGCTTGTTAAACAGCGGGACCAGCTTTATATCTGGATTTGCCATTTTCTCAGTTTTGGGCTACATGTCACAAAAACAGGGTGTCGACATTGCTTCAGTTGCCGATTCAGGTATGAATGTGAATATACTCTTGCTAATTAATTGATTGTTCCTTATTTCATAATGTTATCTTTGATGTTGTCCCTGCCTTAAATGTCACCTATTAAGCAAAATCCACTTTTTCACGTCTTTCATACATAAACATGTGTCCCCTCTGTATAAAGAGATTCTGAACGTTTCAGGAACAAATATTCACTCTCTTTTTGTCCTGATCCATTTATATAAAAACCTGTCTGAAAATGAGCTGATCAGATTTTGGCCACTTTATGATGTCATAACGATTTTTTGGCTTGTGTAACCATTAGCCCAGGGGTCGGCAACCCCTGGCACGCGTGCCAGCATTGGCACGCGGCACCGTAACCAGTGGCACACTAGGAATAAGTCGAATAAGTGTGCATAATATTTAAATTGTATTTTCGGATCCTGAACGAGACCGCCGCCAGAGCGCGTCTCCCCGTTACCTGCAGAAGGGAGCCATGCACGCAACGCAGCCCCGCTCTCTTTAACTCCAGGCGACTTTCTGCCGCTTTCCTCCGTGGTGCAGGGCTGATTGTTTCACCACAGAGGAAAGCACTTCACAAATTGCAGTACCCATAACGAGCTTTACAAATGTCGCAGTTTTTGCGTGGCTGTGTGTGTCTTTAGTTGAAAGCCCAGTGGCGATCTGCTCATCTCTCATTGAAATAATATGCTACAAAGGGGCGGACTGGCCATCTGTGTGTTGAACTTTCCTGTCGGCTCCCAGACCGTAGTCGAGGAGGGCAGAAGCAACAAGCTTCAGGTTCAATAACCCACTTTAGCTTAAATGACTGGAGAGAGGCGAGCTCTTCTGGGGAGGCCGTTGCATTTATTTAGCTGTTCTTCTGTTTCACAAAATACATCACAGACCTCTGTTTTTCTGCTGCCTCGTTTCACTTCCAGAAACATACACACGCACACGCCACACCCCTATCTCTCTGTCTCTCTAAGGGACAGCGATCTCATCTCACTCTGCATGACCCTAATATCATAACATCTGTGTTCTGGAGAATCACAGAACGGACGATCGTCCTTATTATTATGCCGTTTAAACCAATTATTTAAATGTGGTTGTTAAATTCGGTATCATGTAAGTTGCGCTGACAGGTCCACACACTGCTTCCCCGCAGCGAGGCCCCCCCGCCCTCCTGTTGATAGATCACGAGCGTCAAGCTCCTCAACATCCTCAACACCCCCCCCCCCGTTGATAATTCTCGATCGTTGGCACGCTGATACATTTTTTTTTTTTAAATGGCACTTCATATCAAAAAGGTTGCCGACCCCTGCATTAGCCTAACCAACCAAGGTGGGGAGTGGCTCCTTATTTTCATCTAAAGTAACAGACAGAGAATCAGCACTTTTGAAACAGGGCTAAAACAGAGGGGATTATGGGATGCTACAATGATCTGTTTGGTATTTCGAGCCAAACACTTCAGAGACATGTTTTGTATATATCCTAGACCTATAATATATTGATGAAAAAGAGTATAATATAGGAGGCCTTTAAAAACGGTACAAGTCTCAGTTGCAGGGAGCTATGGTTTACTCTCTGTTGATTTCACTCTGCAGGCCCCGGCCTTGTGTTCATAGTCTACCCACAAGCTGTGACCCTTCTGCCATTTCCTCAAGCCTGGTCCGTCTGCTTCTTCGTCATGATCATCTTGTTAGGAATAGATGGACAGGTCAGCTGCAGCCTTACTCACGTCTCCCTCAACAAATGTCATAAATGTCCTCTGATGTTTCTTCTTTTGTCAACCTTCCACACTGACTTGCCTGTCCGTCATTCCCCAGTTTGTTGGGCTTGAAAGTCTCATGACCTCTCTATCAGACGTCTACCCATCCCAGATCCGAAAAGGATATCGCAGAGAGCTTCTTCTGCTGCTGATCTGTGCTGTCTCCTATATGTTAGGCCTCGTTTTGGTGTCACAGGTGAGCAGAAAGAATTCATCATTTTAACTTTATTTTCAGTCGGATCAATTCACATCCAACATCCATGTTTATTCAAGACCAATGTATGATCGAGGACTGTTTTAATTTTAGGCTGGAGCATACATTCTGCAGATATTTGATCACTATGTATGCAGTGGTCCCACTCTGCTTCTGATGGCAATCTTCCAGTCTGTGATTATTGGATGGATCTATGGTAAGTCAATGGTAGTCTACAATTGTCTGTTATTTTTTACGTTACATTGCCATCTGCCTTATTGTACAACCTTAAAGGGGACCTATAATGCAAAATGCACTTTTTGATGTCTTTTATACATGAATATGTGTCCCCGGTGTGTCAGGGAACTCACGCAGCGTCAGAAAATAAAACCCTCTCTCTTTTCCTCCATACCCAAATCTCTAAAAACGTGAAGAAGCAGGAAATAAAAAGGAACTCACCTTGTGGTAAACCTGAGAGAAAGCCTTTGAGCTCCACACTGTTTCAGAAATAATCCTTGATAATCCATGATATGGCGTTTCATCACGGCAGTATCTGCCGGTAGAATCTCCCGCATGAGCTCCGCCCCTCTTTTTTATCAATTTTTTTTTTAAAGCTTTATACATAAAATCAGCACCTTTGAAACAGGAAGTGAAATAGAGGGATATGAGGCATGGCTAGAATGGGGGATCTGTTTGGTATTTTGAGCAAAACACTTCATAGACATGTTTTTTATATATTTGTATATATCTGAGACCTATGCTATTGCCTAAAAATAGCATGATAGGTAACCTTTAAAACTGATCGTGTTAAATAGGCGGCGTTATACCTTTGAGGCGTCTGAAACAGTCTGTGACCTGATGTTTAATGGGAAGAGGACCAATGTACTTTGTAAGTTAGTTAGTTCATATGTTAGTGTGAAAACTTGGAGGATAAATTTGTTTTATCATTAAATAGTTACAAAGAGGTGATGGAAGGACCAAGTCAATGGTAAACTATATAACTTGTAAATATTTTTTATTTTATTATTTCATAAATAAAATGTAGGGAAGTTGGTAGTCTGCAAGACTTCAGCTAAACAGTTCAAACCACTTGAATAAACAGAAGACCCAATGTCCCACCTCCGTAAGATGACCTGATTATTAACAAAGTCTTTGAATCTTTTATCTGGAAAAACTATCCGAAAAAGATATCCTTAAAACTGGGGAGTAAACTGTGAAATGTAGTATAAAATACATGCTGTACTGTATAGTAAGTGTGATGTGTTATTCTCTTCTAGGTGCTGACCGCTTCTGTGACAACATTGAGGACATGATTGGGTATAAACCTATGTCCCTGTTAAAGTACTGCTGGATGTATGCCACGCCTCTTATTTGCAGTGTAGGTATTTCAATGAGGCCATAATGACGTGTGGTTATGTAAATGACCTTTTCTTTTACCCAACTATTGATATATTTATTTATTTGCTTCTCTTTAAAGGGCACACTTGTGTTTATGCTCCTGAAATACACCCCTCTGAAGTTCAACAACTCCTACGTGTATCCTTGGTGGGCATACTGGATCGGCTGGTTCCTGGCCATGTCATCTCTCTCGATGATTCCTGTGACCATGGTCTGCAAACTGGCCAAAGAAAAAGGAACTCTCTGGCAGGTCGGTGGTTGTTTTAGTGTCATTTTACATTTACTATTCCACCATTTTAATAAGCATTTAAAGTGTCTGAACTTCATACCAACCCAGCTTGTGTTGCCTGTTCATGTTTTGCTGGAAGTTATATTTTTTGACAATAGAAATACCTTCTTCCTCTAGCGTATCAATTCATGCTCCCAACCTGCAGATGATCTTACAATGAGGACAACGAGAAATGCAAGCATCAGCGCCTCCCTGCAAGCCCCTGATGCTGGACAAAACATCAAAGTGTAATAAAATGCCATTTCTCTTTTAGTTTTATAATCTTTTTTTGTTGCATTTCAAAAATATGTAGAGCAGATTTTCTATATGTATATGGTGGTGTGTATTGGTTTCCAGATTTTTTTTAAAAGGGGATCTATCCGAATACAGTATACTAAATGTCTAATATGTTTGAATTGTTTCAGATACTGATTGTATACTGTACTAAATAGAGTTGCAAACTATTTTCAAAAATGTGCTTCTGAAATAGGCCTACCTCAAATCTTAAAATACAATAATGTTCTGAATGTTTCAGCCCATTCACAACTTTTACATTATTGCCTTCTGTAAGTAGGGAATTACTGTAGTTTATTACTGTTCACATCACATTATCAAAATGAATTTACTGAAACTTTGAATTCATTTTAAATAAACATCCATCACAGTGAGCAAAAGGATGGTTAAACGTAAAGTGCTGCCTAAAATGTGAAAGTACGCAAGACACAAGAGTGCTGAATAACAAGCATGGTGCTTATAAAGGGCCTTCCTCACTTCTAGTAATTCCTTTACTAAAGTAGATTTCAAATATTTCTCTATAACAATGTCTAGTGTATAAGATGAACACAAAAAACAATGATGTAATCAATGTTGTTGTATTGTTGTATTTAAATTAAAAGAAATTGGGAAACAGTTTAAAAAAAAATTAACATGTAAGATATTGCGTGAATTTAGGATAAGTATCAGTGGCAAAATAGACTCAACTCAGGGGTGCACTTGGTGTCTTTGTGATAAAATGTGCGGGAGTCTCTGAAGGTTCTGACGACATTAACATTATCAGTAGTGCTGACATTGATTTATCAGAAACAAGTCTCTTAGTTCTTACATCTGTGATGTGACCTTGACTACAGTAAAACAAACTCATCTCATTGACTACCTACATTTTCTTTGAGATTTATACTGATTTAAGAGAAATTGATGCTTTTCCCTGTCTGATATTTCATATATTAAGCCAAATAAATATACTTGTTCATGCTGTTAAAATAAGTGTTCAACTACTTGCTGCTTGAATGTATAATGCAAATCCTTTTGTGCCTTAAACACTGCTTATTTTTGTAGGTATAGTATTTTATTGGGAAACTGAATTTTTTAAAGATATATAACTTTTGTCTTTATACATGACTTTACATTTATACAATAAAATACTTTGTGGCAATATGGTTCTTTTATTTTCTTGAAAAACTTGTTATTAACGGATTCTTTCTTTTTAAATCAGTTATGTGAATTTTGTTCTTTATTATAATGGTTTTCGGTCTAAAAGTACAGTCGAAAATTCCCAGGATAAAATGTTACATAATCTGATTTCTTTGTACTTCTTTCTTCAGTTCACAAAGGAAAACAAGTTATCAATTGTATTAACCTGGACATGACACATTTTGGCCTTTTTCTTGAAAAAAACAATCAAAGTAGCTGGTAGTAGATTTCCTTTTCTGTCTTGAATTACTACTCAACTTTTATTTCAATATTTATATTGGCTTCAATGTTTTCGGTTCCCCTACCTTTAAATTGGTGCTAGTGCATTACGGTCATAGATAAACTGGTCTTATATACAATGAAGAAATAGAGACTTTGAAACATTTAACAAACATTGATTTAATAAAAAAATCAGTAAAAAAAATCATTCTTATTTGTTTAATTAGATCTGACGATTTTGATATCATCGACAGGCCGATCTTGTCCGCTTGTCTCCACCATCCCAACTCGGTTCACCACGCTCATCCCCTGGCACACTCTACCAAAAATAGTGTGCTTCCCATCTAACCACTGAGTGGGTCCGAGAGATAAGAAGAACTGGCTTCCGTTGGTGTCCGGTCCTGAATTGGCCATCGCCAGAATACCGGCACCTGTCACACACACACATAAAATGAGTTACAATGTTGAGACTTTTTGCGGTTAACATTCCCACATTAAATACAAGTATTACATAAATATTTAGGAATCTAACACAATTCTTGAAGCAAAGCAGCAACAACGTTTGCATGACATTGGTATACATCCACTTTTACACATTCATTTAAATATATACAGAGTTGCTAGTTTATAAAAGGTAGAACTCCCTAAACACATGCATTTTTAAAACAGCTAAGAAACCAATCTAGCATTGATTTAGGAAAACAAAACAAAAAAACAACAACATTTAGGACTCAGTACTGACACACTACTGTTGCAGGAGTCTTTTCATGATCCAAGAAGCTATTTTTACAACATTGTGTTTGCTTTAGTATGTCTTCTCTTACTGCAATTACCTGTAAATTTCAGGTCTGGGTGAAGCTCATCTTCAAACTGTTTACCAAATATGGAGGCACCACCGCGACCTGTTAAAAAGAACACAATTAGTAAACTACAGATATACTACCAAATGACAATATACAGTTATGAACATCGAACTGTGAGGTACATCAGGGTTCTAACCAAATTATACTCTTGTAAGGTCAAAGAGGTAAGATTTGGGTTATTAGTTCAGGCTCACACAGTTTCAAGTTATATTGATGAGTTGCCAAAAGTTTGATCATGAGCTTGTCTTTAATGTTGGTATTACGAGTAGGACACCCTTAAAAACGAGAGGACCCATCTCAAGGGGCTTTCACTACATTTTCCAGCACAGCTTTTTTAATGGCCCAGTAATTACTTGGAATGTCTTACTCATTAAGAAATACGTAAGTTTGTGCAAATTAAAGGACTCCATTTAATAAATATTAGAATATAATCCTTCTGAATTGTATTTCCCTTGTAGATTTACCACTTTGACTAGGGCCAATTGCGTAGTTCTTTTAAGGCAACCTTACCTAGCCCAAACCATTAAAGATCTGTATATAAAGTGCTTTAATATGTGATGCACCCACCTGTTCCTGTAGGGTCTCCTCCCTGCACCATAAAATCTTTGATTACTCGGTGAAACTTGGTGTTGTTGTAGTAGCCTCTTCTGGCCAACTCTGCAAAATTTTTGCAGGTTTTTGGTGCATGTCTCCAGTACAACTCCACCACAATAGACCCCATCCTGCAATGCATGTTCATTATTATTTTTGCAATTTGCGTATTTCTGATGGTGTGTTTAAGAGTATACAAAGCCATATCATCTGTTTGAGTAAGTTACCCAAGCAAGCCCAACACTAAGCTAACATCTCCAAATCGATAACATGGCGTTAGTGGAAGCTAGGTTAGCACAGTTAGCTTTCAGCAGATTTGAAAAACTTACGTCGTGTCCAGAGTCACTGTTGGCGGCTGCCATGTGTCTGCGGGTATCCCTGACATTATCACTCAAAACAGCACCCTTGGGTAGTCTTGAAACAAAGCTGTTTGAATAAAAAGTAAGAAGTTTATTAGCCGCGCACATTCATTCAATTCAGTCCATGGGGGAGTTTCTTCTTCTGTGGTGGTTGCCGCTCGTTTCCTCTAAAAGTTGAATGACTGCCCTCTACTGAGAACACACTGCAGCTGGCTTAACGTGCACATTTTTATTTTCCTTTTTCATATACTGCAATCTATTTAGTCTTGATGTTTAATCGGTTTTGCTAAATTGTAGTCCATTCCAACATCATCTATAACCCCATAATCTATGTATTACATCTAAAATACCCATTACTGAATACATGTTCCATAAGGCGCGTGGAAAGTAATTGAACCCTGCATCTTTCTCTAATGATGTGCATTGTAATATTATTATGTATCCCATTCCTGCACAACCAATACATTATAAATCCCTTTTTTCAGAATGTTATTGAAGCGCATATTTCCATCTTTTCATAATAATTGTTGTTATATATTTTTAGAAAAACGCCTACCACACATTTATAATTCTTATTTATGTTTTTCTAATTACTTTTCTATGTTTATATTTAAATTAATCTGATACTATGCATTAAATGAATGCACACTATGTGAACAATGTCTTCTTATACACTGTCAGTCCAGCACAAAGGACTTGTGCAGGTCAACAACATTTTGCACACAAAGCTACCTCTTTTAATATCTGCACGGCTTTCCACTTTTCATACCAATACTGCACATATTTGATTTGATTGTATTTGATTTGAGTATTTTGTCATATTATAATGTATGTAGTTTTTTGGTATACATATTTTTCATAATTCGTTATAATTGGTGTTTTCTAAAATATTTTTTTATAATTCTTATATTTCTTGGTCCTCTTCTTACAATGTATCTTCTTTGACTGTGTTCATGTATGCACCATGTACACTGGGTAATGAACCTGATTCTGATTCTCGTTTCATCCAGGGTAGTTATGATTATCTGGTGTAGTTCACATTAAAGACCACGGGGGGCAGCAACGCATAAACAAGGCGACGAGCGTGCAGCGAAATAAAAGGAGAAGAAGAAGAAGAAAGTACTCTCTTCACTCAGCTGCGACTTCTCAACGTGTCTGCTTTTGACATCAAGGTAGAGTCATCTATTTGCATTTAATCCGTCTCTGTTATCGGTCATATTGCCTTTGTTTCTTTCTGATTTCGGAGTAGTCCGTCTACATGCACGTGTTTTTGTTTTACGTTAGTTTAGTTAGCTAGCTTTAGCTTATGTTTGCCACAACCAAATCAGTAATTTGAAACGCTGTGTTTTGGGTCTGGAATTAAGTGCGTACTCTGCTTAAAGTTATTGAGACAAAACTAACCTAAACTGTATTTTATTTGGGTAGACAGTGGTGAGACAGCTTGCGATGTGTTAATGTTATGCTATAATGAATCCTAGCCAATTCGTCATTGAGTTGCTTTTTCAAAATGTAACCAAAGCGGTCACATTGTTAATGAGATTCAGTGATAAACAACACCTTCACTCCCTGTTCACTTGCTAGATTTTTCTTCACTATTAAGTTGTCCTTGAGCTCATTTGCGTGTGAAGGTACTATTTCCAAGGTCAAGGATAAAGTGATAATTTCTATAAAAACAGTGACTTTCATTTAACTTCCCCCTATATTAGCCTGAACTATTAAGCATATTTAGCCAAACATGCATGGATTCATGCACTTACAACGATTGCTTTTGGCAGGAAATAGCTGTATATCTTATCACTTTGATCACATAATATGTGCCGTGGTTAGCCTACTCATTGGTTCTGCTTCTGTTACTTTGCCTGGTTGTTTATCTGGCATGCAATTGGGAGGGATTATTGAGGATATCCTGTCCTATAGCAGAAGGACTTTGCTATTGCATCATTGATATTGTAATCAAGGTAGCATCATGACTGCTAAAACTGAAATCCTTATTGACTACATTTTAATGCAGCAAATTGTTGTTGCAATTTGAACCCATCCTTGAAGGATGAAGAAATGTCTACATCCTTACTGCCATGTGATTCATCAGATGAGAAGGTCTAATCCAATTAGGATGGTAGCATGCCTGTTAGCACTCCTAAGCTTGAAGCTAAATCAGGATATTTTTGTGAGTAAGCTCCAAGGAGGAAAGCGAGTAAAAGAGGTGCGCCAAAAGCAAACGAAAAATAGTTTTTTTCATTGTGTAGAGTTTATATTTGCAAGATTCTTTTAGCTACAGCACACTCTTAACAAGAGGACCCTAGGATAGTAACAACTTCACCTTTTCTTTCTCCTCTCAAGGTCCTACACCATGTCTATTGTCAAGATCCACGCCAGAGAGATCTTTGATTCTCGTGGAAACCCCACGGTAGAGGTGGACCTTTACACTGACAAAGGTAGGTTTATGTTTATGACTTATTGAAAAATGTATATATTGACAAAATAAATCTAATAATATTAGTGATTGTTGAGTCACCACTGTTCTGTCCTCATGTACATTTCACAGGCTTGTTTAGAGCAGCTGTACCAAGCGGTGCCTCGACTGGAATCTACGAAGCTTTGGAGCTCAGGGACAATGACAAGTCCCGCTACCTTGGGAAAGGTGCGTAAGCCTATCTAGCAGCAGGAAGGCAGAACTGAGTACAGTTTATTATCTGTTTATTTATCACAAGTAAAATCTTAGTGCAGTATTCAATGTTATTGAATATTTGTCCCCATATTATTATTTCTAGGCCTACAAGGTTAAAGCACAATTGT